AAATCACCAAGGCACTCTTGTAACATTTTAAGCCGATCTGCCCACTCTCTCTCCCTCTCTCTCTCTCCCTCGCTAAATCCTTTGACTCGAAAAGACCGAATTCGGCGTAGCATCTGCCCACGATTTTAGCGGACATTTCAACGCCGTAATAATAGGGCATAAACACAAGCGCACACGTGCTGTTTGGGGTTTGCTTGGACATTTAGGTGCTGCATTCACTTGCACAAAAGTACACACACAAGGGCTTAATGCATGTGAATACTGTTTGTCCTAGCCCACGCCACGCTATCGTGAGGCTTTTGGGCTACGGCGGCTTCAAATTCTCCAAAACAAGTGTTCTTCCCGTTCACTTGGACTGGAACATTCGAAGAGCAGGAAGCTGCGTCCACTCACGTCGACGTAGAACACTTAACTTGGATTTGAGCAGCTGTGAGCATGTGTGGTTGCCAGAATCAACGATCAAGTCAAAACTCTCGGCTGGCTCATTCATGTTTTGTCGTGTACTTGGTTAATTGCACGATGCAAGTGCAACTCGACATTGTGTCAAGTTCTCCACAGGCCTAAAAGTACATTTCAAGGTGAGCAAGTGCTTTAGCTGCCAAATGAAGCATTCCGAATCATCGGCGTAGTCTGCTTCGTGGTTGGCTGCCAATTTGGACTCATGCCATAATCACGGGTCACTTCGCAGTTAAGCTTTTTCCTAAACTAAATTCTAGGTCAATGAGTGCATTTTTGCCTAACTTTAATCGCCACCTCCTGGCTTGACCTCAGTCACAGTTCGACATCAATTTTCGTCGTCAAAAGCTTCTCATTTGTGTCGCCAAAAAAAAACAGTTTTACTGAGAAATGAGAATGATGTCAAGGTAGGAATTAAATGATCGTAGGCTTTTTCTTCAATAATACAAGCATTGTCCTGCTTGCTGTGTTTTGTAACAGTCTAGGTTATATTTATAACCTACGCCTTACGTTTGCAACAATGCGTTTTATTCAAAAATAATTATTTTCTGCAGAACAATTGCAATATGACCTCTAGAAGGCGAAAATAACGCGGTGTACTTTAATTTTAAAGAATGTAACCTGCTATTGTTGTTTAAAAAAGGTCTTATTTGTATAAAAAATCGGTTTGGTCGTAGGTGACTACTCAGTACATTTCATCAGCATTTTAAATCGCTCCAAAACATGCCTTATAGTTGTCAGTGGAGATTTAAGCATTACTGGAATCCACCAATCACAAGAAAATGGTTGTCACTTAATCACCCTTTTACCGGAACAAATGGATGCGTTGTGGGCCCCAGCATCTGGTCGTGAACCACGCCGGGGCCACGGAATTAACCGTGATCCGATTACGCTTCCCTGATACCCGCGATGAAGGAAAAGACCGGAGAGGACGTGGACACAACCGTTTCTTCAGAGCTCAACCACGTTGGTGTCGTTGTGTCGTGTGTGGGGTTTGTGCGTGTGTATTTATACCTCGGATGTGTGAGTCATACATACGCTGACACCGCGACCTAGGTGTAAGGATAATCCAAGATAATCGATCGTGCGAATGAGGAGGGAGTTGAGGATCCGCGCGGCTGGCGACATGCTGCGAAAAGGGCAACCCTGTGTCGGAGGCGTAGCGGTCGGACTAATGAGTTGAATAAACACGATTCACGACAGATGTTTCTATTTTTTTTCTACAACAGTCACTGGTCTTTTCTTCCTGATTTCCACAAGAGGCTGTAATCATGTTTCTCCCCATCTATCAATTATTAACCACTGTTTCGTCGTCGTCGTTGTTGGGGCAAGGATGGGTGTGCCTGTATTTTTTATTAAAATCAGAATCGCAAGCCAGCATTGGCCGCTTGAAATTGGCAGACTCATCCCATTTTGGCATATCCGCTGGTCACGTAAAAGTCCGAAATCGGTTTAGAGATGTTGCTTGTCTCCAAGCTTGTTTTAATACTGGAAATCTCGTGACATTTAAATGGACAGAAACCAGTGTTCATTATCGCTGCCAGTCAAAAGGAAGTAGGTTTCTAGTGGGAAAATTTCCGCTATTATCGACATTATCAGGCATTAATTGTAAACTACGGCTTTCCTCTTGCCATTTTGCTAATGAAACCAGAAATGTTTCAGTTTGGAATTTTGCAACGGAACTGTAGTGGATCAACAGCGATCGCGCCTCAGTGAATCCTATTTACTGACCTTGTCGGTGACAATGACTCATCTCCTTTTCATTGGTTACTGTTATCAGATGCCTGTCATCCGTTCACTCATCTACCTGGCTGGTGTGACGCTAATAAACGGTCGTGTCCTCTGTCGCCTCTTTTGCCACTCTTCTCGGGTTGTTACGGGCTGTTAACTAGAGGGTTAAAAGGTAGCTCTAAATCTCTAGCCGCTACAGAACAAAGTGGATTTAAATAAATTGATTGCATTTGTAACTTACTAACATCGAAACTGGTACGGTCCATGGTCGTGAGTTGGTAATACATCAATTCAATATAAGCGCCAACTTAGACAAAGATCAAAACTCAGGTCCATTTTAGAAAATTTGAAAATCATGTAGGATTATAATTTTTGCAAATGTAGGATATTTTTGAGACGTACACTGCAGGTACTAGTTCGTTGTACTGGGTGAGCACGGAATTCAAAAATCGGTATTGTGTAATAATCGATTTTCGAAAATATGAGCAGATGGCAACCAATCACGAGTCCCAACCAGAGAAACATTCCACATTCAGCCACTCGGCGATCTCAGACGACCCTATTGGACAATGGCGTTGATTTTGATGGCATCATCAGCATTAATTCGACCGGAACTCTTATAGTCTCTTGTGGCGAATATCCAAACAAGCTTTCTATTTAGCGACCTACTCACCTAAGTTAAAACAAACGGATAATTTGCCTTTAAAATAAACCGAAAATGCTATCGTACTGACAAAATTACTTCAAATCAGGCTAAAAACTGAATATTTATGAAAATCAACATTACTACCCGGCAGGATTTCGTCATCTCGTCCTGTTAAACGTAAACTGTGCTTTGCAGCTGCTGACCTCTGACCTTAAACCCCAGTCTACCTGCTAAACACGCCATCTGGTGATTCAAATGACCTCGGATTAGTCATAACACCCCTGGCCTGTGGCTTGGGGCTTCCAAGATGATGAGTTTTGGCCAAAGCCGACGGTAGCGCAATAAAAACCTTCATTGGGGCAGCCCCCGACACCCGCGTGCTCGTCTAAGTCGTACGTTGGCCTGACACGAAATCATTTTAGAAGGCTTCCGCGCCAGTGGGTCAAAAGGGGCACGCTTTCATCGACGCAAACCACAACAACTGAGATTCCAGACCCGATTCCAGCTCTACGTCGAACTCCGTCGCACTTGGAACATTCACGCTGGCGCAGTTGGAGACTACAGATCAAGAACTATAGTACATTATCTCAAAAAAGTGGTCAAAAACTGTTCAAGCTTTAAATGGTGGTCTTAAATTAAGAGTAGTTTTTATCTACTTGTTACCTAGACTTTAGGAGCTTCACACCTTCTTTATATTTGCTACTTTTATTAATTAGGTAGCATAATACTTTCCAAAGAAAGGTCTGCCTCGTTTTAAAATTAAAAACCTTAGGAGTCTTTCGTGACTCACTTCGACCGTCTCTTATAAATTCAAAAACAAGTTGTTATATTTAAACGATGGTTAGCAATCAAATAGACTGAGATTAAACCTCGAAAGATATTATTGTTCTTCCTTTTTTCTTAAAGAGTGCGTTATTTGAACTAATACGACTGTCAATAGAAAAGTCACCACTCATCAGTTTCGATTGGCCTGTGCAGGAGGTATTTTACCAATGCTACGTCGGGAAAAATTATTTGGCTACCAAAAATTCGCCTCCATAATGAAAATGAATTTATTATTGATTTGAAACGGACCATGAACCACAGTGTGCTTTTGCTAATTCGAAAGGTTTACCTTGATCATTTACCGAAAGTATTTTAATGACTTCCCATTAAAAACAACTACTAAAACCATTTTAGTAGAAATAAATTTCAGGATGTGCTAATTCCGAGATACCGAATTCATCGTATGTTCACTTTATAATGGCAGACAGTAAAATTATTTCGCAGTTAATCTAATCCGAAATTATCACCGTTCATCAAAGCGACAACGGTTCAAGTGAATTTAATTAATTTTTATGCAAGTCAATCCCAAAATCTGCACAAACCGATTCCGCCATCCAACGTACTTCCTGATTTAACCAAAAACAAATTGCTTAGTCATGTCCTTTCTGTGGCATTCAAATTGAATTCAAACAACGCCTTTATCCCAACTTTCGTACGCTTTAGCAGTTTGTTTAATTAATTCGCAAACTAAGAAAACCAGGAGATGTTACAAAACAGAGATGATGGCATTTGCAGTACTAAAGTGGACTTGTCTCGCTGTCGTTACCTTAAAAAGCGCATTTTGCCATAATAAGGTAAGTAATTTGATTGATTTGATGCATTTAAACAAAAATATACGCGACATATAATTGGACTTTGTCCCAATTTTCAAATAGCTAAACTTGAAATTTTGATTTTTTCTTTAAAATGAAAACGGGTTGAAATGACACCAGTAGAAAGCGTTTGTCTGTTTGCTAGCATTAATTTTCTAAATGCTTAATTTGAAGTGAAGGTTGTTTCCTCATGCGTTTTCTCTATTCATCGTCTTCGCATTCCTGGGACGCCGACAACAATCAACAATGCTGCAAAATTGAATGTCAATTCACTGGGCTTTTTTTTCAAAAAAGCCGTCACGTGCTCCGCATCCAGTGACTTTTAGTCTCAGTGCTCTTTTAAAATAAAATGCTATTCCCTAATTCCGTTAGACCGGACTGAGTGAATTTGTCGCAGCAAGTAAATCAGGATGATTCGATGATTCACAATTGTATTTTCGTTTCCTGAAATGCTACGAGATTCTTTGACAAAAAGCGCACAATTTCTGCAGCCTCGTTGCGCAGCAACAGAGGTGGATGAAAGTGACGAGTTAAAAGACACTAAGCAGTGCATTGGACTGGAAGTTTTGCGACGTCTGGAGCCAGTCTGCGACCCGCTGCTGACCCAGCCGCTTGTGGAAGATGCGGCGAAACCGCTTCTCCCTGTCTGACCTGCCCGTCTGCAGCGCGTCCGACGACGACAACGGCATCGGTGTTGACGACCAAAAGGGCATTCGGCTGGCGGCCGCGGACGTGGAAACTGCCTCGGTGGTGCGGCGCTGTCTGCGACGTCGACAGCGAGGCTTCACGGACTGGCGTCGCAGAACTTTCGACGCCCGACACACAGGCTCCGCGGTGAGCATCGGTCGATGGGTGATTGGTGAAGAGCTCTGGCGCCGTCTGGTCTCGGTCGCATGACTTCAAAAGCAATCACCAATTAAAAAACCTTTTTTTGCTACCGAGATCACATTTTGCCTAGTGCCTGCCCTGTCATTTACAAAATTTTAAACTCAAATCCAATCCAGATTCGCCGGATTTTCATTGGTTAATTTCCGTCTTTTCAGCTGGCAAATTATTGATTTTCGCTTAGTGAAAACAAATCCAATCAACGAATCAGACTAAGTGCAGACGGGAACATTAAATTGGCCTACGCCAAGCGTGCACAAAACCAAACCATCCATCCGAATTCTTTATAGATTTCTCTTTGTAACAACTAAATGCAACAATGTTATTTGGTTTGCATTGAGGTCACTAGCTAGTCTTGATGATAAATTCAGTTTAAATTCTGGCCTCTCAAATCTCTCCCTTCCTTATTCACCAATTCTACCAAGTGGAAAATTTACTACTCTGAAATTTTGAGTGGTGTAAATCTCAAGACCATTCGAAACAAATCCCAATTTACACAAGGCAAAAACGGTTGCCCTATACTTAGGACTAAACTTACGACTGATAGGATAAACTGCGGCGCACTCCGGGACAAACATACGCCCTCCTAGTTGCCCGTGTCGATCGATAGAATTCCACAGATCGGGTGAATGAGTAGCACACCTTCGGCCGCTGTCTGGACCCAACCAGCGACTCCGGCGGACTGCCCGCAACGCTCGACAGACTTGAGCCGGTGGTCATGTTGCGTCCGCAGCCGTAGCAGTAGAAGGACGGCGAGTAGCCAACTGCCCGCGACACCGGCATCCCCTCCGGACAGAAGAGTTGGCCGGGGTTGTGGGGCGAGACGCTGTCGAACATACCGAAGGAGATGCACGAGACGCTGCTTGCAGAGGACGCGGACGGTCCAGTCGCCTGCGGTCCTCTGAGGCGGGCGAGAGGCCTCGCAGCCGCTCGAAGCACAGGCGGGTGGGCTTCTGGGGGCTGCTGGAGGCGTGTGTGGGATCGAAGACGCTGTTGAGGGAGAGCGCGTAAAGGCCGTGCAGACGGGCGATAATGGTTTCAAAAAGCCCGCTGTCGAGTCTGAAGGAGTCCTGTGTGCGTGTGTGTGGTGGAGGCAACGCGAGGCAGAGTCAAGTTAGTGTCATGCACAAAATATCAACAAAGGCTTAGTGGCGGGAAATAGTTCAGTTTCGACCTTGCCTAAAACCTCGCTCGCAACCGAAGACAAAGGGGTTACGCGAAGACACTTAAATAAAAGCGCAAATTGTGGGCTTTGTCTGTGTACTCAGACGGCACAATCATCACGCGATGTACTACTTATTTGGGAGTGAGGTTGAAGCAAAAGTGATGTCCGTTTTTATTACAAATGTCGCGCATGATAAGTATCAAAACTTTACTTCTTATTGGAGTTTGGGATATCACATTAACCTGGTTGTACTAATGCCTCTCAGTTCATCTACGTCCTAGTCACCTAATTCCGTTGCATTGGCATTACCTAATATCCCATCTAAAGACTGATTTAGGAATGCTATAATATATGGGAATAATAATTGTGACAATGTAGGAGAAGCAGTATAATCCATCCAATGTGGTCATAGCGATGATTTTACCGTTTTCGAGGTGTGACTTTCAGTTCAAAAGACGGACCGAAATGGGGACCCTTAGAAACCTCTACCCTGAAATCTTCGAAATCGCAAACATTCGTTTACAAAGCGAAAATTGAAGCTCTCATAATTTGGAATCTCATAAAAATAAGTCGAAATTTCCTGGTCGAATGGTTGCTAAGTCTATGCAGTAGGCAGGTCCGGCGTTACTGGTCCGGGGATTTGCAGGTTTATCTAACTCAAAGAGGGTGAAAAACCAATTGTTGTGTTGTGGTCTAATTTCAGTGTTTGAACGATGAGTTCCGCACAAATTGTCGACTGAGTAACCGAGGCAGTTGTGGGTCATTGCCTTCGTCACAACTTCAAAAACCGTTTTTGACTGGCTTGGTGCTGGTGGATCGTCTACCAGGTGGTCAAGCCCCATTGATCTTGATTCAGTGGAGCAGGAATGCTATCTCAAAAATCGAGAGGAGCCTTTGATCCAAAAGAGATAAAGTTGAGTGTAGGTGGGATTTCACACGTGCGAGAATGTGTCTATGAAGAACTTGGGAGCAGCCGAAGACCTCTGTTCCGACAGCCTACCTCTCACCTGCTAACAATGAAAATCGATGTGCAAGGACTCAGAATCTGGGAAACTTACCATTCTGCGAACAAGTTGAAGGTCAAAGAGTCCTCACGAGTCCCAGACCAAGATTTTTGACCTTGGATGCTGAAATGGCTCACAACAGAAGAAGTAACTTGAGAGGCAGTTACCGCGACAAGCAATTGACCACGGTGTTCTTGTTGTGAATGGTTTATAATCTGGAACATTTTGCCTAACGAACACGGCCAAATAGGTTTTATGCACGTTTCCAGTTGACTAAAGAATGCGGCATGAATCTGGTTAGTGAACGAACCACTCGACCTGAGGGAGTAAGTTTATGTGCACGAATTTTCATCAACTTGGAGTCCACGATAGCACACCGCAAAAGGCACGTCCAAGTTAACGCTATTTTCACTTTGAAATTGTTTTTGCGAGTTAAAAGTCGTCCACTTTTTGAAATTGGTTAATCTTGGCCATGTACATCCACGCTGATTGTTGCATTCGACCGTGTGCTTGACTTGGATTGACCACATTTTACGCATAAGTGAACTCCCAACCAAACGTCACCAGTTAAGTGGTTGCGATAAAAATCTCTAACTGGTCCGTGGAGGCCCAGGTGTGGTTCTAGACAACGCACCATATTCTTTAACAGGTCCGTAGTGGCGAGAAGAACATAACGTCCATCCCTCCAAGCCACTGGATTGACGGCAGTTAGAAACTGCAACAGCTCGCTGAATCAGCAATCGTAATTGTCTGATTAGACTTTACTTATTGTTACATTTAAAAAGCCACACTAATCACAAAAAAGATTTTACTCGAACACAATGCTCCGTATCCATTGCTGGGCTTTGTCAAATAGCGCCCAGATTCAATTTCCGCACACAGCGTCAGAGCCCCAAAAGCGGCGTAAAACTTCGTCAACCACAACGACGACTACTTTGAAATCTCGGCCCTGACCAAGAGCCGCTTGTGCACTTCCGAATGAAACATAAACACTCACCAGCACCGCACCATGACGCACTGCAACTCCTCCGTAAGCCTTGTCCAATCAGCGCTTCCTCTTGACCCGCCAACCAATCGCCGCACGTCGAATGCGTGATCGATGCAGCGGCTGGTTGCTTTCGTGTGCACGCGCGAGCGCGCACAGGCATTAGCCCAGCTGTTCGTCTCTTCGCAGGCCTTACCAACTCGTGTGCGGATAGCCTAATGGCGAAGAGTCACGGTGGCGTAAATGATGAGCCCAAATTGCGGCACCAGAGGAAAAGGCCAAAGCGCTTTGCCGTTGGGTGCTACCACACCAGTGCCATGTTGCTTATCATCGGCCTCGTAGTAGCACTGGCTGGAATCTCCTCGAGTTACCTCTTTGGCATCTTCGTGTACGATAATCGGCACCCGCCCCTCTTCCACCACATCTCTGTCCACGTGGGCCTGTTCGACATCAAGGGCGACATCACGGGCAATGGGAGTGACGGTCTGGTTGTCCCACTGGAGTATCCGCCCATTTTGGAAGGTAAATGTTGCATCTCCTCAGTCAAACCCTCTCCCTATTGTGCCTCTTTTCGTGGAAAGGTTTCAACGAACACGCTCTGCTTAATATTCCTCTAAGCAGCTAAAATCGTCGTCTTAAAGTTGCGGAAATATTGTTTAAGTGTAACAATACCACCCACAGGCATCAGTTTTGCAATGGGCGAAGTCGCTCAAATGGGTAAAAGTAACTTCCAGATTCGACATGAACTTTTTTGAAAGGTGAGGTAACGCCGCAACAGCCCTTTCTTAGGTCACAGATCTTAGCCAACACCACGTTGTGGGATGGTAGTCAAAAAAGCACTCTCAGATTCCCTCTTGTTTCTTGGATTCTGCAATTTTTTCGCAGAGGCATTATCCTCATTCAATCATAAACGGTTGCTTAACGCAAACTGAGCCTTCGTGCCCTTGAATACGTCTTTAGGTAATTTAAATGGTGCTTCCCATTGCTCGCGATATCGTGAGCACTAATTAACGAGGTTTAAATTCGAGTTTTTGATGTGTTTAACAGTTGTGTGAAATGCTCGTGTTCTTTTGTCAGCTGTACACACTCAAACAAGTTGAGTACTTCCTTGCAGAGAATCACTAATTTGGGAAAAAACCGATTTTCGCTTGCTAGTATCATAGTTAACTCAAGTTCCCACTTGTAATTTACTTTTTTACGTGTACTTGAGTCTGAAACAAACTTTTTGCGATGGAACGTTCAAAAAACGTAGGTAAGGAGGAAGTGGTTGATGATTGGTTTATGGGATTATTTCACTTTTCACACGTTTCCACTAGTTGTTCCTGCACCTCAGTCAAAACAATTAATTTTTTGTGACACCTCGCAACGCACATCCTGGTGCATTGTTTTTGAGTTAGTTGAAGTCACGTCAAACAATTTGGAGTGGCCTGGGGCGAATTTCCCCCCGTGCTGGTCTCTCTCGAAACCACGCGATATTCCCCATGGCTTATAATGTGTTTCGATGTCGCTATGAAAACAAGTAGCTGGTTTTAACCGAAGGGTAGGTGGCACTACTGCTCTGTGGTTGATCTCTACTGTGATTGGTTTAATTTGGGACTTGAGTCATGCCTAGATCCGATTAGTGAGCTTCTAAGCCAATCGCAGTCGTACGGTTGTGCCGCTATTTTAAAAACTGACCAATTGGGCGAGACCATGCATTCCCTCTGCAGCTGTGGCTAAATTTCGACTCTCATTTAATGGCAATGTTTCGGTTCATAATTTAAAGTAGTCGAGTAACGAATAACCATTTACTATTTTCTGACATTCTAAACTGAATGCAGCTGGTAATCAGGCTCGATTTACACAAATTAAATTAAATCACTTCTCCAGGAAATTAACCAATCAAACAGAAGGGTAACCTGGCGAACACGATAACACCTAGACAGTTTCATGCAAATCTCCTTTTCCCTGAATAACCTCGTAGTGTTTTCTGTTGGATTAGGGATCTTAGTTGACGAGAGTTTGGATTTTAATTTTATCAGTATTAAACGTCGGAACTACTACACGGTTTGAGCCGCGGTAACACAGAGACTGTTGTTGAGCCTTACTTCGGCAATCAAGGATTTCGGCAACTCGCGTTCGTCCCCTTGTCCTCACCTACCCCCTTTTGCACCCCTTTTGCATCACTAGTCCCAGACGTGTGTAGCGAGTGCGAGTTCAGGCGTGTCCGTGTGACCAGCGGAGACGCCGTCAAGGGCGGGTAGAACAGACGCGCAGATTATTGTGAGGGTCTATTTACCGTGAGATGAAAGACGCGATTGAGCGCCGATTACTACAGCGCACGGCACCGTTTCTGCGCGGTGATTAGTTTATTTTCCCACGTAGTTGAAAAGACTAACCAATCAGGATCGGCCCCGAACTTGCGTCGAATTCAAACACAGTACACCAGACCCATTTTGACTGTCATTGAATTCGCCTGACTTTTTAATGGAATCGACAATATCAGATTCCCCAACATCTCTTTTCTGCAAACATGGCGACTTTGGAAGAAATTTCTTAGTTAAATTGCACACTAACTGCTCAAGAAATCAGCTTCAGCGTCCGAAGTGGAGAGGGTGATGAAATGGTGCTCTCAATAGACGCCGTGTAGTTCGTCTTAGTGAAACCGACATTTCGTAATACACAAGGCTGTGAAATCAGCGAAATCATATCGAGGTTGAATGGACATCTTGCGTAGTGATAAGTGCAGTGACGGCGACTTAAGATACGCAGCCACGTGATAGAAGTGGTTTCTTGTTTCGTCGAGCCTGTCCTGTACGTATATTTCTTAGCTGTGTACACATGCCCTAGACGGCCTTGACAGCCATAACAGTAGCCAATGAGGTGAGGGCACTAAGAGGTGCGCGGCAGATTTGTGTTGGTGTGCTTGGCATGTGAGTTTGAATTCTGAAAAGTTGCGAAATTAACCAAGAAAACATTGCTTTATGCTTTCTAAAAGAGCTCCGCTGGTTGATAGCAAAGGCGTCAGCGATCATTGCGCTCCTGTTTGGCGTCCTCGCGCTCTCCATCCACGCATTTCTGCTTTGCTGCAGCCGAAATCGGGAAGACAAGCCATGGGGCACTGTCGCCACCGAACTCTTCTCGTGTCTCATCACAGGTAAGCCTTCAAAACCGTTTTGGCGTGAAGAACGCCAGTTCGAGTCGTTCAACCAGCTAGTTCCACGTTTTTCTCAGTGATCGGGCTGTTGGTTTGCCTGAGCCTCGCTGAATCAGAAATCGAGGGAGTCCACAATCACGGTGACGAGACACTGGTGCGGATGCTCCAGGCCAATAAGCTTCTCGCGTTTTCGGCCCAAGTCGACACGTTGGCCAACCAATCAGGAGGCGAACAGGACGCCCCGCCCCCACGTCCATCTGCCGAAGTGGCTGAATTCAATTTGGTCCTGTCGGAGCCTCGTCGCAGCTTCTACGTCCTCATCGCCGCCGACTTTGTCTGCCTGCTAGCATTTCTTGCCATGCTTGTGTACTTTGTACGACTTAGTGAACGCGAAGAACAATTGAGGAAGCAGCTACAAAAGGCCAAGGTTACCAAGCCCGCCTCCGGACGCTCCCCTGTGTAGATACACGCTACTTGTAATTATTAAGTAAACGGTTTATTGCCGAAATATTTTGACGCTGTGCTAATCCCGATTCCCGCCTTTCGCCCTGTTCAGACGAATGAAATGTTTCCACTGGGCTTCGCTACGTCTATGATGCACGCTGTGCAGAAAATATTCAGCCCCTTTGTATTCTCTTAACTCATTTCACCAATGTTCTTGCTTTTGGTATTTATTTGGTCGGTGGGTGGGGTTGAGATGAACACCGATTAAACCCCCAATAAATGGACCGTGAAATGTTTCATCCTATGCATCTTGGTAAGGGAGCCTGTCTCCACGGGCGATGTTATGTAGAAGGGAATGGGGTTATGCCGAACTAAATTACTAAACTGAATCTACAGTTTCTCAGCGCGTGGTCCCTTAACACATAAATGGGTTTAATCTGATCCTTGTCTTTTGGTCCTGGTGCAAGATCCGCTTTGGGTTTAGTAAAGAAATAGTTTTCAGGTTCTTTCGCCAATATTGAGGAAACCGATGTGAAGCAATGATGGTTTGAAATCTGAGTTCCCGCCTTTGCTGAATCATCTTACCTCTGATTGGCTAATTCGTACACTGGCAAGCTCGTGATTGGTTCGCCCTTCCATGAGGGCTGCCTGGATAGAATTTCCGTTGCTAGCTATCGTGAGGTACATTGCTAACAAGTGATTGAATAACGTCGAGCGTTTTGTAACGATGACGCACCGCACGAGTGTGAGTCATGCGGAGTTGTTACATAAAAGTTGGATGTGAGGTGCTATGCGATGCTCCGGTATCCCGTTTGTGATGCAGTTAACCGACTGCTTAGGTTACTCGCTGAAACGATTTAATGCGCGCTGAATCGTGGCCACTCTCACAGTCACTACACGAAACTTGATTGGCTAATTCAAACCTGTTCACCTTCAATCCCTCCTGTAGTTACAGGAAAAGCACGAAATCTCGTGAGGCGAGAATATTCCAGTCTAAGATCGAACACTTCAAGCAGATTGGTCTTCATATTGGTCCACATGACTGGAAGGGATCAATGTTGATTGGATCTTTCAAAGTGAAGCTGCGTATCCAAGGTCATTGTGGCACAAGATAGTTTCAAGTATACATTTCACGAAGAACGATAATTAGGAGTTAGGAAGTTCGTAGTAATTAAATCTGTTCTGCCCCGTGGGTGCATTTAGTAAAGCATTGATTACGCTATCGTAATAAAATGTGGCACCGTAAAACTTGGGGTGCGTGATTTACAAATGAGACTGGTTTTTGTCTTCTTCTTAAAAGTCATTAAATTCAGCGAAAGAGATGCAAGAGGGACCGAAATTTGACATAGCACACACTTATACACACGTCATTGTATTTTTATTGCATTCTATGATAAAAGCCCGTGACAACTAACCATAAGCATTTTTTGAACTTCACATACATGCGAGGAAAGCATATGTGCATTTAACCACTTTGAGAACTTCAGCGAACTTCCATAAATACCAGAGAGACTTGATCGGCATGTTCATTTGACCTTCAATCAACGGCACTATCACCATTTTAAACATTGTAATAATGACCTTGTCACTTCTGCAAGGAGTTGACAATATTGATAAATCCGATCTACACCGATGAGAAATCGATAGTTGGAAGCGAAATCGAGATTTGAGAACTTCGTCACCTGCCGTAGATGTGTGGCCGGTTGTCGGAATGGGAGACGGCAGCTCCGGACAGCGGGACAGAACACACGCACGACCGAGCAGCCGTTTCAGCGATATTTTGGTGTCGCTAGTCTTCGAATTACCTGCTGTTTTCGAAATGGTCAGTTTGGTGCGATCTGGAAACTGGACGTTGCATTGGATCGGTCAAGCGTTCACTGAATCACACAAACGAAGCCTGGAATGCCAACAAACGTCGTTAGTAACCCTGAAGACAGTTGGATATCGCAGTATTCAGACTTCGTTAAGCAAATACCTAGTCGCGCTTTAAGCTTGTTTATTACACGCCTTTGCTTTCTCTGTAGGCCGCCAACAAGTCACCACGGCAGCACTAGCAAGCCGTCGTCAGGGCCGCAGACTAAACACAATGGCTTGTGAAGCATCTGGCTTTAATACTTCACACGGGTAAGGCGGTCTGTTTAAATGCCGACAGCAGGAGATGACAGGTTGTCAACAAAGGAGGCTTGACACTTAAGGCCTGCGTGGTAGCTGTTTCAACAGACTTTGCAAAACGCTTTCTTTATTTAAAATTTGCTTGTGGCTTTTCCCATCCTACTACATGACTCAGCGCCTTCAAGAGTGGTTGTCGCACACACAGCCAATACAGAGTAACGCAAATTACTCAACACTTAAACCGGGGGTTTTCTACAGTTTATTGTTACAGAAACAACTCTCGCTAGCAAAACCATCTCAGCCAAAGGCCCGTGTCAGCACTACTTACTGGCACAGTAATAAGCCCTAAATTAGCATAGGTAAGTAGTCTGTTGGAGAAACATCGCCATATATGGTCACTGAGTTCTCATTGGTTGGCGAGTTGGCGTGTGAGTGCGTGTGCGGTCGCACGCACGCGATAGGGACCTTCGCGTCGCTGGTGTACCGGTGAATCACCGTCCCATGGGCGCGGAAACACCTACTCTCGCTTCGGCTGAGTGGGGCCGGTCGAACACAAAGCGTCATCTGGCCAATTTGTCCGCTCGCTGGTCGTGTAGGTGTTTACTAGGGCAGCCTACACTGAGAAATTTCATTGGCTAAAAATTCTTGACTGGACAAAGTCGCCTGGTTCTCAAATTAAAAGTTGCACCACCATTTAAATTGACCGCCATTAAATGTATCTCAAAAATTACATTGTTTCCAAGTGGGTAAGTAAAAGTCAAGGGTAATTTGAACGTGACGATTTCTCATCGCTTTAAAAGCGGTAATTGCCGAGTGCAAACGGTTGATATGGAGACGCCTTATGAAATCTGGAAGTTTGTGGTGCTAACAGCTTTGTAATGTAATGTGGTTTGTTCTCGTGGCTTAGCAGCTAGCCAACCTGAGAACGAAGGCAGACGCCAGTAACTGCGACTTTTTTAGCTTACTTCACGTGTGGCAACGCGTTTCCCCGGTTGCAAGCGAGATCCGATGCATAAATTTCGATAAGCTCACGTCGGCATGGATCATCGGCGTGACCTAACAGTGCCGGATTAATTCGCGCGATAATCGGTCGACATCACGAATGAACACGCCCGGAAAGGCAGTTGACAAAATCTGCTTAAATCAGTTGCGCCAACCGTCGTGCAGGCGTTGATTTGAGGGATTATATCGTGTGCTTACTGATTACTCGCAATTTGGCTGGTCGGTTGCATCTAGCCTGATAAAGTCTGTATAAACGTCAAGATTATAGACGTCCCATCACCACACTGGCCATATTTGGCAGCAAGACGCGCGCCGCAGCTCGCCCACGGATGCGAGCGCGCGATTTCGCTTTGTTTAAATGAGCTGGGCCAGGCGCGCGCACACACACTAATGTTTGATCTCGCTCGACTTTCAGCTCTCGTTATGACATTTAAGGCGTAAATCAAGGTAAAATGTTAATCTGTTACGTGACAGTACGAGCTTTAGAACCGGTGCTGACAAATGGTGTCGAAAAATTCTAGATTACTCGAACTCCTGCGTGCCTTTAAAGCACTCGACTAAACTCACAGGGGCATGGAACGAGATCCGCTAACGGGTAGCGTAAGCAATAATTGAATTTGGAGTTTGAAACATCAGCTACACGTTTTGTCTCTCAAACCGTCGGCCGACTTTGCACAGCGAAATGACAAGTTAATCAGATGTTTGTGATAATGAACGCCATTGTTGGTGAAGTCAATAGAAATTGTTATCGGGAGTTTCTCACCCAATGGTTTAACAAGAGAACTAAATTGGAAAAACGTAGACAGTGATAACAACCGAATGTGCTAGGGTTCGTTCTTAAAATGGTAGGCGCAACAAGTGTTTAACAATGAACATTCTGGTGCTGTTTACTTAATAGTCGCGAGTCATCGCAAACCGGAAACCAAATTTAACAAAAGTTGCACAGGGTAATTATAGGGACTAACGAAGAAGTGGAGCACAGTCACGATTTTTCCTTAGACGATGTCGTCTCTTAGCAAAAGAAAGCATCTTACAGCAAGTGGAATGGGTCGGGGACATTCTGTGGGCAGCAATGTCTGTACACGAAATGTGCCAGCATTAAGGTAGCGAAAGATAAGTTTCTAGTGTGTTGGATCAGTAAAAAAGGGGAACGAATTCGTCCATCATCGAGACCTGATTGGAGAAATCAGCTTTAGTTTGAAATCCAGTGAAATGTTTGAGGTAGTTTATCCCTGGAGTAACAGAATGCCGTCGGGCGAAGTGTCAAAGCTTGCTGGTGGATGCCCAAATATTGTGACTGACTGGTTCAACTGCAACTGCCAAGAAGTCTGGCACGTCTGCTGGTAGGAGAGAAAAGCTGTAGGGAACACGGAAGAATCCATTGCAACTTGATGATCATGGTCGTCTTTTACGTGGAAGTGAACGTGCTAAAGAAAAGGATGGTGGTCCAGTACAGAGTTGACGGAACCACGATTCATGCATCGAGGGCCCGTGAGTCTTGGGACTGAGTCAATCTACCAGTGCTTCTACCAACATAATAGAAGTGGAGTGACGCCACACCCACCTGTCGACCTCCTATTGGCGACTTCGTTAGGCTGGGTCGCCGTCCACGAGGAATATCACATTGATCCGAATGCAAATAGATACATCTGACAAATCAAGAGGATTTTTTAGACAAAAAAAATTGAGAAATTCAAAGAAATCTTGAATTCCACAAGGTTTACTTTAGGAGTACTGTTGGATGAACAGTGTTGGCAAATTTTGAAAGCAAATGATGAAGTCCTTAGCAAGAGTACTTGCTGATTAATCGTTGTTTAGGGGTTAGACGCGTCATGCTGTGAATCTGGTTGTTGACTAGCATCTGTTAGGGTATAAAATCAATCACTAGAAGCGCAGAAATTTCTCCTAATGTTTTAATTGGTAGTTTAAAGCACCAAAATGAGAATTTATCAGTTCGGCACTGAGTAATCGGAAACTTTCCTGGTGTTTTCGCTAAATGCCCACTTACAACTGAGCAAACATGGAAATTAATTTGTGAATAATCGGTAGAGAGTAGCAAAGTGGTTCGTTGAATGCTTAGATTGGAAACCTGAATTCCCTATGACAGTGTTCCACACGACTTTCTCAAGAACTCTCTGAAACAACGCAAATTCCAGATCACGGTCGATCATTACCAGTGTTAAGGTAAAGTATTGCAAACATTAGAATTCAATCAAGGCAATTTAGATTTCTGTAAACGGTTTTTTTAAAATAGAAATGGGTAACTATGACGAAGAATATTTCCATTCCATGAGGTAATAATTTTGATTAAGTCTTCATACAGCGTGTTCCAGTGTGATGCTGGTTAGTTGAATGCGATGTGGCCGTACGCGCGTGCTACGAATGAAGTAATCGATACCGCTTCGATCTGCATCGCAAGATCGGGGTTTAAATTAATCAACTTTTGCCTTATCATGCAAACCCAGGTGAATTGAGAAAATCTGTCTAGTTTGTGTTGAATAATAACATAAATTTAGCAGCTTACTTGGAAAGCTGTCAAGACAAAGCCGAACAGACAATCACTTCAAACAACTCCCTAATTCAATTCCTATTTAAAACAAATTCAACCTTCAGCAGCCAGACCAGCATATTGTTTAGACCATTAAGTAACGTGAATTTGATAACGCTTTTGCACAGAATGATAATAGTTGTATGACCTTGCATCTCAATAACGATCGGTTCATTTTTTGAAGTTACATTTCCATGTGAGCGCAGTGACGTGGTATCCGGAAGTTGACTAGCTATTGAGTTTAAAAGTCTACCGTGGCCTTCAAAGTCGCGTCAGCACAACTTATTTACCTAATACCTTAACTCAATCACAGAGTCCACGAATTGTTGCATGTATGGCATGCAGCTAGCGAGTGTGAATAGGTGAAATGCGCGCGTGTGAGTGTGTTCGTTTGGCTGATCTCCGGCTCAAAGACGTCTTTTCGTGACCCCTGTGGTTTTTTGTGCCAACATCTAAACACCTGCAGGCTGAAACATGATCATAAGGCCGTCTGTTGTGCAATCTAAGTGCAAGCCAGATAGCAAATTCCCACACTGGCAACGGTTTCACGTGTTACAAAGTACTGAACCAAGGGTCACCAAAATCGCCTGTTGGTGCTGGTGTATCAAGTGGACCCCAAACCACCAATCGCTGGCACAATTATTTTAGAATGAATTCACTTAATCCATGTTAGTTCTGATTTGAACCCCGCAAATTGTAATGGATTGAAAATACGGCCAGAAATTGTGCCTACTACAACCGGTTGCGAATTGGACATGGAAGAAACGTCTGAGACATTAGTGATTATTTTGGGTGAAGTGATTGTGTCAGGCACTACGACATCAGCGTGATGAAATATCTGAAAATCCCCGTAAAATGTTGTAGAGTCGGTAGCTGAGTTCAAAATGCACGGAGTAGCCATAGTAACAACACTTGTTGTTCTACGATGTGAGTGGACTTTGGATTTAAACACTCTTGTACGGGCCTGGCTGCGTCTGTGCTAGAGAAAGACGGGGAGTGCATAGCGGCATGTGAGGAGCTTTAAAAGGACAAATTATGGCTCAGACACTATGGAACTTAACATAAAGAGGTGGCAAAGAATGGTTCGGATGGGCCCTTGCAGATCTCGTGGAAGCTACTGCGTTAGGAACTTGCACCAGCGTAGAAATTGTAGAAGGCGTACTTGAATACCAACATTTCGCGGTAGATAATTTAAGCGCCCGAAGGATGGGGTCTATGGGCAGGGTATCATGAGCAACCCCCTATCGGAACCTTGTGGTGGATAAATCGTCCATTTGTTGGGTCGACTACCTGCCGGAACGCCAAAGTACAATTCCTGCCAGTTACCTTTTTATTAACAATGACACGTCACTGGCATGGCCGTGGACCACAACCAATGTCCGAATGGATACCCGACGCCGATCCAACAGCGGAAAGAGCCATTACGGTTACCACAGGGAGATTAACCCCCGACTGCCACGAGGGACGACCGGAGGCAGCCGAGATCTGTTGGACAGGCCTCATCGCCTAAACACCCAGTTTTTCAATGGCTTTGTCAAGACACTGCACCCGTAGCTAACCCCCTAGACGTAAGCTACGACAACCGCTTGAAAGCACCGCCCAACATGGCTTAACTAAACCACTCAACACTCAATAAAAAGGCTACGGACACAGAATCACGAGGTATCGGAGTGTATTGATCGTCATAAAAACAGAATGCGAGAAAATAGAATAGCAGATTTAGAAGCATTTGCGGTGAACAATGCTGGGCCCAGACTCGTCGTACTCCTGCTTTGAGATCCACATCTGCTGGAATGTAGAAAGGGAAGCAAGAATGGAGCCACCGATCCAGACCGAGTACTTGCGCTCTGGCGGAGCAACGATCTTGATCTTCATGGTGCTCGGAGCGAGAGCAGTGATCTCTTTCTGCATGCGATCAGCGATGCCAGGGTACATGGTGGAGCCACCAGAGAGCACAGTGTTGGCGTACAAGTCCTTCCTGATGTCAACGTCACACTTCATGATTGAGTTGAACGTTGTCTCATGGATGCCCACCGACTCCATTCCAAGGAAGCTTGGCTGGAATAGAGCCTCAGGACAACGGAAGCGCTCGTTGCCAATAGTGATTACCTGGCCGTCGGGAAGCTCATACGACTTCTCTAGGGAGGAGCTGGAGGCGGCGGTGGCCATCTCCTGCTCGAAGTCAAGAGCCACATAACAGAGCTTCTCCTTGATGTCACGAACAATTTCGCGCTCAGCAGTGGTCGTGAAGGCATAGCCACGCTCCGTCAGAATCTTCATGAGGTAGTCGGTCAAATCGCGTCCAGCCAAGTCGAGACGGAGAATGGCATGAGGAAGCGCGTAACCCTCATAGATAGGCACGGTGTGGGTAACACCATCACCGGAATCGAGAACAATACCCGTGGTACGACCAGAGGCGTAAAGAGAAAGAACAGCCTGGATGGCGACGTACATAGCAGGACAGTTGAACGTTTCAAACATTATCTGCGTCATTTTCTCGCGGTTAGCCTTGGGATTCAGAGGCGCCTCAGTCAGAAGAACTGGGTGCTCCTCCGGGGCAACACGAAGTTCGTTGTAGAAGGTATGGTGCCAGATCTTCTCCATGTCGTCCCAGTTGGTAACAATGCCGTGCTCGATCGGGTACTTCAGAGTGAGAATACCACGCTTCGATTGGGCTTCGTCGCCAACGTAGCTGTCCTTTTGTCCCATGCCGACCATAACCCCCTAAAAGGGAGCAAGAATCAATTACGCATCGAATTGCACGAAAGCTGGGTTAAAAAGCCAATCTCCACATACCTGATGTCTTGGACGACCAACAATGGAAGGAAAGACGGCGCGGGGGGCATCGTCACCGGCAAAGCCAGCCTTGCACATACCCGAACCATTGTCGACAACGAGAGCGGCGATATCTTCAGCGTCACCCATAGCTAGTAGAACCAAGACAAGACAACGAAGGACAGCCGAACTCGACTCGGCGTCACGCTTTATATAGATTTTCTCAACTGCCATATATGGCAATAGGCCGTAGCCAATAAGAATTGGTGACCATAATTGTCGTGCTAGCATCAGCCACCACGAGCAGTCTTCATGTGAGTGATTGGCTGCTGAGTTTGCATGATGGTGCGCACGTGCGCGTGCGTCCGCGAGCGCACATCTGAATTAGCTAACACGCCGGTTAATCCTTGTGAAAGCGCTTCATCAACTGAGGATTTCGTTGTCTTTAAAATCTGTTGTTTTCACCGACCATCCACCAAAACTTCGGCTGCTTTCCCCTAAGTGCCGTAGCCTAGACAATTAGTGTTGTCATAAATTAGTCGGGAAATCACAAATAAAGCCCAACACAAACCGGGAAATTTATGAAGTTTCCCCGAAAGGAGGCCACTTTGAAGTGTTTGCAAAATACTTTCTCAATTGAAGTGCAAGTGAATCACATGAGATGTGTTTTAGGTTAGCGGGGTCGGTGTTTGGGCTTTAGGGTTTCAAAACATGTCTACCTGCCTCGGTTTCGTGTAAACTCACGGCAACTGCCAAGTCTAGTTTCTGGATGCTGGAAACGCGACCTCGTGCTATTAATTAGTTTATTGCCTCTAATGCCACAGCATCTTTCTAAGCTTTTTGTGTGATTACCTGTCCTCCGGCTAACTCCATCGACAACCGCTTGATCAGTTTCATTGACCTTAGGGTCAGACCACTGACACGTGGTTTGGGGGCTACGCTCCAGTGCCTACGACCGCAAATGTGTAGATTGAGGGCAGAACACAAGGTACTTTCCATTAAACAACCCCCAGCTGTCATGCCTCGAAAGTGGTGGAGTATTTGATGCAACTAGTATTTACGCCTTACGGGCGTTTTAGTAACATGTTAAAAGATGAATTGGTGTCTCGAAAGCCCACTGATTTTCATCGCCTGTGGACTCAGTCACTGGATGAGTCCACAGGCGATGATGTTACCTCACACGAGTACTTTCAGTCGGGTTTACAACGAACCCCGTTTACTAGTTGTTACTAAAAGGAAAATTGTCGAGGCATACGCGCCTGTGAAGTAAAGAAAATATGGCAGGACCTATCAGAGCGTGTGATTATGCTCTGTTCGGTTAGTCCATCTATGATACCGCGTCCCCGCACACAACCGAATGCTAATAGCACACACACACATTTCCATTTACGCAGTAATGAAATTCAAGCCGTAGTCATTGTTAGATTCGTAGTTTGTAGTGATCAAACAAGCGATGCGGACAGTGAATTTGCGCTTATCTACGAAAACTTGGTTTTAGTGCAGATTTGGGCCAAATGATCACAGCAGAGCTGCCAGTCTGTGTAAATCGGGTCAGCAATCACTGAAATTAATCAGATTAGTTAGACATTTAGGAAGGGATACTAGGTTTGGCGTTATTTTGAAGACGATGAAGGGACAGCTACGTGGACGCATCTTCTTATGTTCAAATGGCCGACCAATTCCCAATGGGTGTATTTCATGAATAATTCTTACTGTTCACAAAGTCCTTCATCTATGCTTGCTCGAATGGTTATACTCATCTTTCATGGATACTAAAACCACAAATCTCAAGAAAGCTGACAGAATCTAGTATTTAGCACTAGTTTACGGGGTGTCACGCTTTCCATTCGTCGGCACACGACTTCCTCACGTCCTGAGTTATGCTGATAAACGTTCCCCACCTATTCACGAAGATTGGCGAAATGAGTAAGCAGGGCAACATGGAGATTTGGCAAGAAGAGCCTATATGTGTTTTAGCAAGTTGGCGACTGTGCCTAGGTCAATTGTGTCAGTCTGTGTTATTTGTTGTTGTTGGAAATTCCTTCATTACAGGGCTTACATTCAATGCCAGCAACTCAACGGTACTCTATAAACAACTTCGTGTTTTCTCCAACCAGCTGGATTCGTTGATTCCACCTTCCATGTATAACTTTGTAGACATATTGGATTTAGAAATTTGCCAGAACGTCAGCTTGTGATGTGACTGTTGAGTAAATCTTTCTAGACGCTCCATTTAGGGTCACGGCATTTCCCCCCAGATAATCAGGTCTGGTGAGTAACAAGCTCTACTAATCAGCCCAGCCAAATCTGCTAGCATGAGTCAAGTCGCCCACAATGCGTGCGTGAGCGTGGTATTTGCGAAACCGCAACAGCGCCGTATCTAGCGGTTTGTTTACAGGTCATAAGGCGGATTTGACAAATCACAACGTAATCCTCGACTAGTCGACACGCCGCAAACTGGATCGGCGCTGATCGCTAGCAGTCGTGCCGTCGTACGAACTGTCGTCGGTACACGTTACTCGTTATAACCTCAGAGGTACGAAAAAACACATCGGGCGTGTTCGTGAAATGAGTTGTCCAATTATCGGATGATCAGGTGTGAATTGAGACGAAACTCAACAGACCGCAATCGCCTCTCGTGGGCCCTGTCTGGTCATTTGAATGCGGCGTGCTCATCGATTTTCCCACGCATCAATGCGTCATCGGCCGAACATTGTTCAGGACTAATCAATATTTCTGTTACTGTAACCGCATCAACCCTGCCAGTCTCTGTTTATATGCACACGACACGGATTCACACGTTGTGATTTCGAGCGAATGGACCTGATTAATCCAGCGAGATTTCATGCGTAAATTCCGTTCACGAACATCGTCTAATTCCACGCCTAGAGTCTACAGTGAGAATTTCCACGAAATAAGGTTAATTTCAAGAGAACTCTCTTCTTACTTTCCTATAAAGACGACAAACACAAAACTTCTCACCAAAAAGCTGGTGTGTAGCCCAGAGTCACTGGAATAGGACTGCACCAAGGATTTTCAGGGCTTTGAATGCAACATAGCAACATTTGTTTAGTTGAAATGCACACAGGAATTCATACGTATGCCACAAGGCTATTTACATGATCTGTAAAAGTACACAAGTTAAGAGCATGGTTAAGAGGCCATGTTGGGGGACTAAGACGGCGCGGGGTGCGTGGGCGTAGACGTTAAGGACAGCGGGATTGGCGTAGGGGTTTCGACCGTCGTCGTAGTTCATTGGGCAGACATCGAATTCGTACTCATCCTCCATTAATTCGAGGCGCAGGGAAGCGCCTTCTTCTGGTAGGGATGACTCAGCGGTTTGCGTCTTGCCACACTGGTTGCCAAGGCTGCGAGACATTGCGTAGGATCGAAGTGAGAGCCGCTGGTACACCCAGCAGCGGAACCTGTTTGTAACCTGGACAAGAAATCCCGTGGGTTAGGCTTCTGTCTTGTGAAATCACGTGTTAAATAAAAGTTCTACTAACAATAATGAGTAGATATAAAATCATCATGTTAAATTCTCACCGGATCCTCACGATCGTAGGTGATGAGGTAGGACTTGGTGTCCTCCATCCAGAAGCCGACACAGGCAATGTAGTTGTCGGTGACGTCGTACTCTGAAATGGGTCGGCCAGCGAAGTCTAGACGCCAGCACTTCTCCACGTCGAGTTTGAGAATCTTTCCGTCGTTGAGGCACGCCTCGATGTTCGTCTGCCAGTAGTGGTAGCACAGCACCTACAACCAAAGCGAAGTCGTGCGGTTTCGAGCATTGTGGACTAGTGTGAAGAACACAAAGTCGTCAGTGGACAGTGACACAACAGTTGCGGGCGGGCCCAAATTATCTGCCAATTAAATCTTGAATAAATACGCCCACACACATCTCGGAGTTTGAGGGGTACGTGGACAGTCGTTAGCGGAGCACGGTTTAGCATGGCAGAGACCAACTCTTGCGACACCAACACACTACCTGAAAGCTATTTCGACGAGCGAGCTCAAGCCCTTTAGGTTAAAATTGATAGTGCCTATGTTTATCATCGTTGAACAATTGTTGCAGTATCACGTGACGACAAATGAGTCACCAGATGTGGACGCCGTGGTGTGAATCTTGAACTGGACTGACTGTTGAAGCCCAGCCGCGACGAAGACACGGCAATTGTACAACGGTCGATGTCTACAATAGTCCATTTGCATTCCAATCGGACCAATTACAATTCGATAACAGTCGGTGTCTCACGTGATTGGCCGGCTCAAGGTTGTGTCGTCTTCCAGGCCCGAAATTGATTTGCAACAGCAAACTTCAAACAGTCGGTTACACATCAAGGATCTAAGCAGTTGGATCAAATCTTGCCGATGTAGATGTTCAAAGGCGTTGTAGAAAACTCGATCGGGTCGGAATGAAGTTAGAGTGCTTCGGATCCCTCCACGTCACAGTAGATTGACACAACCAATTTTAAACAGAGCCAACGTAAGCGTAAATCCAGAATATGTGCATCGTTATGGCAGCGTAGTAACCATTTCGAAATTTGTGGAACTCAAGTTACCGAGATTACGTGAGATCCACCCTTCAGTTTTAACTTACATAAAATTCTACTATAAACTTATAAGTAGCAAAACATTTTGAGCTGATTGCAGCTCCTGCTGGACTGCTGAACTCAAGTGGGGCAACATACTTGGAGCCAGGGTCGAGGCGTCATTCCATTCGGCATCTTGAAGACGTACTTTTCGGCCTCTTGTCCGGTTTGAATGAACTTAAATTTGCCCTGAATGGGACAGTTGATTGGCACAGGCGGGTCAAGGACGAAGTACTCGTACGTCCACTCAATGTAGTTGAGCGTGAAACTGCTCCAGTGGCAGGCCTCCTTGTACATGCGCAACATGTACTCCGATTCGCCAAGGGAGGCCTTCGTGGCGGGTTCCAGGGGGAACGGTCGACCCATGCGGAAGCGCGCGATATTATGGTGTCGTGGCACCAGTTCGAAGCACATAAAATCGATTTCGCTGAAACAGTGGAAAGTTGAGAATGATCATAATTGTAAAGTAGTTTACGATTAGAGGATGACAAACGGACGCTGCCGTTATAAACCCACCACTGTCCTCGAGTGACGACAGCCATTAGGTACCTCGAAAGTTGTTGTTGACGACAAACAAAGTAAATGTCTTCATACGTGTAGTAGTCGCGTCTACGTCGCATGTAAATATGCGTTGCATTGATTTGCACCTAAGAATACCAATAATTAACTTGGCGCTTAATATGAACAAACCGAAGTTTGGTACTCGCTTGGGTAAAACCAGTTGCCGCTGTAGTTGGTTGGAAGCTTGCAGCTTGGCTGCATTTCAACAAGCTGAGTGGCTGGGTCGAATGATGGTTCAAGAATCAGGCGGATTGGAGCGGTGAAGTAGTTCTTAAGGTTTTTGCAATCAGCGTCCACTGTCATGCCTTAAAATGACAAAGGTTCATTTATATGCTTATAAAGGCCTAATTTTTGTGCAAAGAACGAGTGAATTGCACATGCAAGAGTGGAAAACTAAGAGGTAATTTGTACAAAGGAATTAAACTTTAAAGACGTTATCCATAACAAAACAGCAATAAACTTTCTAGACAAGTAATATCAAGGAGAGCATTTCGACAATTGCATATTTCGACGTAAATGCATCTCTGACATGCTGTGTAAAGCTTGAGCCGAATAACAGCCAGTTATACCATCATTTGGAATAGAAAACACCGAAGGTAATTTAATAGTGGAATGCACATAAAATCGGAAAAAACTGCAAAATTAGTCTAGGACACATAAAGGGGATAATTTTAAATCTAGAACATTTCAAATTAAAGATGGACGTAAAGTTTCCTTTAGTTAAAATAATAAAACCGAAATCACAAGTTAATGTTCTGCATGCCTACCCCATTGGATGATATCCCGCCGATTCTGTTGATCAATGCGAGTTGTGAGGCAGCGGTATTTAAATTTCGGCATGTTGGTGTCGTACTCAACCGCAGCCCACACGGTTCCATCAGCGGCGACCCAGCGCGCGTAGCAACGCCAAATATTTGCTTTGCCATACACGATGTTTGGCTCTTCCAGGACTGAAGTCTCGAAGAAGTTAGGACAGAATCCGAAAGTTTGTTCGTAAACTGAGTTGTCGCGTAAGGGTGATCCTTGTCGCTGACAAGCCCTTAGTATACTATTTGGACTTCGACAAACTCCAGTGCTGCCAACAATTCGATACTCGAATGAATATATTCCCTCAATAATGCTCTTGCAGTTAAAATCAGAATACTGTTCTCGTGAGTTAATAAATCCTGTTTCAAGTTCGATACCAGTAATTAGGAGACAAATGTTAGAGGCGTTGCCCCCAGGCAAAACTGGCTGACACTGACCTAGAAGAGGATTAATACTTCTTGCATGGACTACTTCTTCGATACTGTATAACGTTTTCGCTTCGAGCAACAAATTCGTAGCAAAAGTAACAATCATTAGTTCTAAATAGTCCAAATTAAAAGTTCAATTGTATTACAAATTCTTGTAGATTACGTGGACTGAGTCTGTTTTATTGGCTTCCACAGTAGTTGCCTGAAGAATCTGAAAACATGTACCGTTAAGTCGGTCAACATCCTGGGTAAGCTGTGACGCACTGATTTGAGTTGTAGTTTCTATGCCATTTTCAATGCTGTACAAATTTTTTCTATAAATTGAAGGTACAGTGCAGACAGCAGCGCATGCGGTAAAACTAGTTAAGGTGACATACACTTAGGCATAAAAATGATAATTTAGAGTACCTGCGAGTAAAACCGATACAAGCATTTCCCTTAACGCCACTTCTCATAACATGCGGTATTGACGATCCAAAAACTCAAGGTCAATTCGACGGAGAAGTTAAATAAGCAAAAGGGAGATACCGCTATATTTTTTTGCAAAAGCAAATTAATTCTTTTATGAGTTAATCTAATATTCTAGTAGTGTAACACAAAACATTAGTAGACATCATATAGCGAAATTAAAACGTGATTGTTTTTATCCCGTGAATTGTTAAAAATGTGATAACAAATTTATCAATGATCAAATGCATAGACATGCAGTTCTAAAGCATGCGTTAGGAATTAATTGCAGCGATGAACTAAGTTAAAGATCATAACTATTATTCTTTCGTTTGTCTGACAATAAAAGTGGATGGAGTGTCGCATAAGTTTTTCGTAGTATATGGGCATCTACCCTAGTTTCGTGCTGTATAAAAGAATTGATGCTGGGTGTATTTGCGATGACAAGTTTTTTAGAGGTGCAGCTAGCAGTTAAATACCAATATAAACATGGACAGGTACGTTGGAAAACCAATGGAGTAGATAAGAAAAAAAGAACAATTCATTTACTTATTATGCACTTTGCGTATCAGTTTAAAGGATTCATAGTAAGTGATCTGTTATTTGCTGGCATTTAATTATAGCAGAGAATTCGGGTAAACTTAGTAATTTATTTGACACGATATGGGGGGGGGGAACTGAGGATCCCCGCGACAGGCGACATGCTGCCAAAAAGGGAAAAAGGGACCGGATTAAGGAGTGTGACTTGATATGATTCACAAGACTGTCAAAAAGTACAGAGCTGTTAAACATGATGACATTTTGTCAGCCTTAATTGTTGGTTTGAATTTTGAACGAAAGCAACACGATGTCAAAATAATCAACCGTATATTTACTACATCAAAAATCGCAGTTACGCTTGACATTACGTCATCTAATTTCATAATTTGAGTGACTAATTGTGATGAGGCTACGACGGCAATCTTCAGAAAATTATTGACGTGTAAACCTGTGATGCTGGCAGCGACCATTTACGATGTTTTTTGCAACCTGATCATGCATAAAATGATGCATTTCGTGTTTTATACGTTGCGATTAAAGAACTTCAAGGCATTTCGTTAGAAATTGCTGATCTCGTAATTCATTGGCGGCAAATGCAGCACAAGCCGCTTCATAATTGCCAACCATAAATCACCTAGACTGATTTTTTGTTAAATTTTGATCAGCTATTCAGTAAAACTTAAAACCAGATGTTGTCTTCCATGCAAAATGCTATGTTATGTAAATCTACTTGAAGAAATGGGAGGCTGAACAAACTTGGGGCAGTCTAGTCGATGCACAACTAACTGAATGGTCAAATAAGTGGAAGTGGTAGTGGTAAAATACACAGGCATAGCGACATGTGAAAAGACGGTCTCTTGCAGTTAAAGAACACGCTGTCAAATGCAGACTGGCATGGCAGGGAACAAGGCGACCACTTTGTGTTCGTAAAGCAACACTATTCACTAAATTCGATGAATAAATAAAGCACCATTACAAATTGCTGCATTTGCAATGGTAAAGAATAGTAAGAAAAGTGGTGTGCGGTACCGTTAGGCAAGGTTGTAGTTCGTAGAATGGAGCAAACGTGCAAAAGGGGAATCTCTCATTAATCACAATCAATTTATTTCAAGCAGCAACCGTAATGTGAGAATGGACAAACGGAACTCACGAGAAACACTACTTGAATTCACTCCAGGCAGAGGTCAATGTACTTGATAAGTACGTCTACCGTTACACAATTATTGTTTATTCTGTTAATGGGCTTTATATTTACTGTTTTAGATAATGTGTATAAATTGTTAAGCCTTCCAAATCGTCCTTAATTCTAGGCGGTTTGTGTTAAGGATTCTGCATCAGCAAAACAGTGCCTTTCTAGCATTTCCAGTTGTTATAATTTTTCATCACCAATCGCGTTACGAACACTAAAGTACGATTAACAAAAAACAGTCTTTGAGTGTACTTTTACTGATGAGGAGCCGTCTTGGGGAATGCTGCATCCTCAACGCTATGTTAGTTGAAATTGCCAAAGTGACCACATCGCATCGACATGCCTATGACTGACCTGCCCGTTAAGAAAACTGAGAAATCTGTTTCTATTTCGGATAGACCACGGTGCCACAGGAAGAACACGAAGGTAGGTAATCAAAGACAGTTCATTCACAGATACTAACATTGAACTAAACAGAAATCACAGGAAAATGTGGTGTGAAAATTAACAGGTGACTCGATAGCCAATCCCATTCAAATTTCTCGTCAACACTGCTGTCCCTTCCTCTCAAGGGGTGGGTCAATCGCTCCACCACAAGAGTTGTCCGGTTTGGATTCCAATTTCTCGTCAACAGGGTTGCCCTAGAGAGAGGGAGCGAGTAGCAGAGTAGGGTAGTGAGCCATGTTAGTTGGGTGCCATGTGGGTACTAATAATGAGGCGGCTACTTACGCGAGACTCTTTGGGGGTACTAAGAAGCGCAGGCACGGGGGCTTCTGGAGTGTCGCCGATAGCGCGTTTGGGTCTCTGTTCTCTCTCAGCCATAGTCAGCCGGATCAGTCAGCAGAACACGGGAATAATTTGACGTTAGCCCTTCACATCTATTTATATGGGTTTGGGCTAATGCCGTGAATGGTATCGGTGGAGCCTCGCCGCCAATAAGAGTTGGCGAACATGATCGTCGTGCTTGCATCAAAGTCGTCCAGTTGAAGGAGTATTCGTGTGCGTGATTGGCTGCTGAGTTGGCGTGGGCGTGCGCACGTGCGCGTGCATCCACCAGTGCACACATCCAGGTTCGTGTGCGCGCCAAGTTCGTTTCTGACTTGGCGCTCCACATGTTGAGGTTTGCATTTGTTCAAATCTGCCAATTTACCATGCATTCACCAACACGTTAGCTTACATCTCTCAGGTGTCGTAGGCTGTGTGAGTGTTGTTTATTGTAGTGAGAAATTAAACGGGCGAGGAATTGGGTGAAGCCTCATCCAAACTCATGCAAACTGGGACGTGTGGGAGCCCTGGTGCAGTTCTCAAACCGCATCGATTTATTGCTACCACAAGATCCCTCTTCTTGTGCGTGACAAGGTGACAATGTAAAGGCGAACACATGACATTTAATTCACATTCGTGAACGATCGTTACGACATCTGACGCGGACATGGTGGTCGTCAGCAGCTCTCTCCCCTGTTAAATAAATCTACACACAATTTTGTAAAATCCTCATAACCATAAAATTCGTGATAAGTGCTTTGCCTGGTGACGACGATGGTGAGAACTAGTGTTGATGATCTGGTTGTTGCCGTGTTTCGCTCAGCCATGGCAAGATCTATTGCCTTTCAAAATATCACTTGTAGCAGAAGTAGGATGATGGACGTTCCCAGGGCATGATAGATGCGATTCAGCGTCGCCGAGGAAAATGCAGGCAAAGCGCCGTCACGAGATTAATGGAGGTGGAGGGACATCATGCGGATGGCAATGGCAGTAGTGCAGGCCTGGTAAACGAGTCGAGAGGAATTGATGGACCTCTTCTTCCACTGAGAGGATTGTCTTGCACGCGATTGATGTCTGTGGTGGAAAGGACAGAGGATTGTGAGTCGATCGAAGGGGTGAGCCAAGCGTGTGTCAATGCAGTAGCGATACCAGGCCTTACTTCACGCCGGGTATCCGGAAGGTATGCACACGCAAGTTGGTTGGTGGTCGCAAGGAGATGGCTGAGGCTATGTGTCGCCGGCGAAAATCACCTTGGTATTCCAAGAGGATACTTGAAAGGTTGGCGCAATAATGACCATGGGTAACGATTGCCCGATATCGTAATTGAAGACTCGAGGCGCGTTCACAGAGATTAAGTTTAGAGTGAGTCGAAAGCACGATTTGGAGTAAAGGTGAAAGTCGGTTGAGAACTGCTGCAAGCAAAATGCGCGTGAACTGAGAGCATTGTTGAGCTAAGTAAAAGAGTCGACCAGGTTCACCCCCAGACATTTTGGGTCTGTGGCACCACGCACCGCGAAAACAGTCCTCACTGATTTCTACATACACAAAAAAATACTTTCTTGAGTGTCCATACGCATCATTCGCAGATACTAAGACGACGAATTTCGGTTTACGCCGAAAAAGGCTGAAAGCATTTGGTGCTTTGCATTGGTTTATGAGATGCGTTGAGAAGTTACTCTGTCGACACACGATTTCCGCACATGCCGGTTCAAACTGCCAAACGTTCCACTGATCCAGTAAGTTCGCGAGATGCGTAATCGGGGCAACGTTGAGAGTTGGCATGCGGGCGACTGTGATTTGGCGACTGTGCATGGGTTAATTGTGTTTGCCTGTGTGTTGTTGGTTATTGAAAATCCCATGATAGACTGAGATTATTATAGAGCACACACTCAGTACCAGCAACTCAACGGTACACTGAGCAAAATCTACCCCTCCTTCATTGTCTTGAGAAAAGCACACCAGCTGATTTCACTACCCATGTGTCCACAAAAAAACACCACGAGCGTGATTAACTTTGCAGAAACTGGGATTTAAGTTATTTTTTTTTAGAAAAAGAGTTTATGTGATTGTTGAGCGATTTGAATAGGAGCTCAGTGTGATGGCGAAGCACCATTCCAGAATCAATCGGCTCTGGTGATTACTAAAGAGAAGACGAATCTGTGTGCATCGATGATGGGTGCGGTAGCGGTGCAGCTGTCACATTCACTACCCCCATCATACGATTCATATACGGATCACGAATTGTGGTTGTTGTGGTGACGCAGAAAGTAGAGCACAGGGTTTGTGGCGAGCAGCAAGCGATCACAGTCAGCAGCCGCGATCGAACACGATTCAATCGATTTTTTCGTGAATGCACTTCACGCAACTCCGTGCGTTCCGAGATCGATGCTTAGCTGGGGTATACAAACGCACTTGTTATGCCGCACTAACACACACCGCTAATGCATGAATAGATTAGTTGAGGCACGTGTCATCCGCATTTACCATTTATCGTTCGATCGGGCGTGGTCAGTGTAAATCGTCGGCCCTGGCGCGGTCCCCAAAAACCGCACTGGGGCCCGCTACAGGCTATTACATTAGCGGCACAATTATAGAAATTACAATTACGAGCGAGCACTGATCAGTACAAGTACACAACTCCAGTGCACGATGAAAGCAGGGTGTGAATCTCGAATCCGAAACTCGCCACCTTGTACATTGAAGATGAATCTTGGAAGACGTATCTCTTGACATGAATGCCAATTGGGGAAAAATGGTAATTTGAGAATTGAGATATCGATTTGGAATTACAGCGCAAGAATTTGAATTACCAGATTTCGTGGATAACACAGAGAGCAGGCCAAGTGATGTGACAATAATGAGACGAATAATACAGAGGTGGCACATCCTGAATTGCTAATTGGAGGTTGATGGTTCCGTGGGTAGGCCGTTCTATTTGTTGATTAGTTGAGTCGAGAGAGGCATAACGTTGCATGATCGGACAGACGAACATATTTACCTACATCCCTGAAACACTGGACCCCGTTGGTTGATATCCATCCATTTTATTTTTCCGCGACCATCTCCGATGAAATTTCTTAATAACTAATCCGGCCAGTTATCGTGCATGAACAAACCCCTCTATTCATGTGCTTGCGTACATGAACGAGCATGATACTCTGTTATTTACGCTGACGACCCACAGATTAGAGAAACCAGCTATGCCTCGGCACAATTGGAATCAGAGACCCAGCAAACGGTCGAGACTTTGGTGGTTACGTTGCTGTGGGGATGAAGCTATTACAATTTGCCTGAAGGTGTCGTGTAAACGATCATACAGGAGGTTTATCAAGTGGAATGACCAAGGAGTTGTGCAGAGGAAGTGCATATCAGAAATGATTTAACTCAATTCTTCCTGGTAAGCATCAACTCACTATACGCATATACACCTTATCAGCCTTTTTTCCACATACCATAGAGCACTGTTTAGTAGAAATCGCAGGCGGTTTTGTAGATTCGGAAGGACTGTGCCCGGTGGCGTAGTCTTGCTTGGGGTTGCTTAAAAGCATGCGTTTGTTGTATCTGTCGTTTTCATTCTGGAGAAGTGGTATTCTGAGCTATCATTCAGCTAGGCGATTTTTATTGACGAAGGTTGGAGGTTTACACCAAGGCTGTCGAGTTGTACAGACTGACTATGCTGTAGAGGTATTTGCCAAGACTAAGAATGTTGGGGATGGCCAAATCCTGCTTTGTGGTTGTGGACGTGATTGTACCCTGTTTCTTGCATGGCTACTGACACTCATGATGAATTCAGTTTGGCTTAAATTGTGAGAGTACAAATCACCGACTGGTGCGATAGATGCATTGTGATTCGCGTTGATTTGCACTGCCTAATCCGATCACTAATTCTTCGACATAATAGCCTCGTAGTCACGGCACGTCGCTAGCCACGCGGATCCTCAACTCCTCATAGAAATCACGAGCGATTATCACAACACCTAGATCTCGATGTTGGCACATTGATGGCTCACACTGATTCACACATCTGACCCGTAAATGCACACGCACACACGCCACAGATACAGCGACACCAGCCGGGTATAGCTCTGAAGTGTGCGGTTGTGCTCACGTCCTTATTGGTTTTCTTATTCATCGCGGGTGGCAGGGAAGCGTTGTAGCGGCTAGGAGCTTAGCACTACCTTACAACCCTCTACTTAACGGCCCGTAACTGCCCGAGGATAGGGGGAAAGGAGGCGACGGAGAACACGACCGTTGATTAGTATCACACCAGTCAAGTGGCTTGGTGGGCGTATGAGTACGCGTGCGTAACAGACGAATGCTGACGAAGGCCAATAAGAAAAGGGGATGAGTCATCGCTGCACACGGGCCCTCATGCACGCACACTCGCGCGGCGCGTGCAGTCAGTCAGTCCACTACAGCGTAATCGAGCCAGATCCAACTCAGTGGCACCCACGTGGTTCAAGACCCCATGTTGGGGCTCACAGCAGATGAAATTTGGAGTGGGGTGGAATAGTCACGGTGAATAAGCAAGTGGTGAAGCAATGTTAGCGGAATTTATGGAAGTGAAATTCACTATCACACGGCCGCTGACAAAGCCTACAGATTCACTGTGGGTCTTAGTATATATGTATTCCTAATGACAATTCCTATGCAAAGCGTAGTCGTGCAGTTTCGAGCATCGTGGACTGGTGTGAAGAACACAAGGTCGTCAGTCCTGACTGTGGACAGTTGTGGGCACAAGAGATGCGGGCCCAAATTATCTGCTACCTGGTACCACACAGTGCATTTGATCTTTAAGATGTAAAGCTACTTCGACACGCCAAGTCAAGCCCTAAAGGTTAAAATTGCTAGTGCCAATGGTATTCATTGTTGGTGGATTTTTGGAATATCGCGTGACGACCAATGCGTCACCAGTTGTGGAAGCCGCGGTGTGGATCTTGAACTGTCTGCCTGTTGAAGCCCAGCCACGACGAAGACACGGCAGTTGTACCAGGGTCGATGTCTACAATGGTCCATTTGCATTCCAATCAGACCAATCATAATTGGATACCTGTCGGTGTCGCACGTGATTGGCCGGATCAAGTTTGTGTCGTCTTCCAGATCCGAAATTGACTTGTTACAGCAACTTCGGTCCGTCATGCCAGGAGCCCAATGGCAAACTTCAAACAGTAGGTTGCACATCAAGGATCGAAACACTGATTTGACTTGTAGTTTCTATGCCATTTTCAATACTGTGCAAATGTTTCCTGTAAATTGAAGGTACGGTGGAGACAGCAGCGCATGGTCTAAAACTAGGTAAGTTGACGCACACTTTGGCATAGAAATGATAATTTAGAGCACCTGCGAGAAATGCCGATGCAAGCATTTCCCATAACGCGGCTTCTGATAACATGCGCAATTGACGATCCAAGAACTCAAGGTCAATTCGACGGAGAAGGTAAATAGAAAAAGTGAGAGAACGCTATATTGAACTGCTGTCTCAGGAAATAATTGCAACAATGAACCAAGTTACCGGTCATAACTATTCTTCATTCGGTTGTGTGACAATAAAGGTGGATGGAGGGTCGCAGTGGGTTTTCGTGGCACGTGTGCCTCTACCTTAAGTTCGTGCTCACAAAGGCCAATATTTAGTAAGGGGTTGTATAAAAGAATTGGTGGTGGGTGAATTCACGATGACGAGTATTTAGAGGTGCCTCACTACTCGAAATATTTAACGGTTAAATGCTGATGTAAACATGGACAGCTACGTTGGAAAAGCAATGGAGTAGATCAGAAAAAAGAACAATTCACTTACTGCACTTTGCGTATCAGTTTAAATGGTGCATAGTTAGTGATCTGATAGTTACTGGAATTTGCTTATAACCGAGGATTTGGTAAACCTAGTAATGTATTTTACACGAGGGATGGTAAACAACTCGAAATATTGATGGAAAAGGAGAGGGTAAAGACTCAACCAATTAATATTCGCCTCATCTAAATTGTGTCGGATTCATATATGCGCTCAAACTTGTGAAAGGAATTGATCAACATACTTTGGGTGGTGTAGTCGATGCACAACTAACTGAGTGGTCAAATAAGTGAAAGTGGTAGTGGTAAAATACACAGGCATAGCGACATGTGAAAAGACGGTCTCTTGCAGTTAAAGAACACGCTGTCAAATG